TGGATTGATGGATAGGTAGGTTGATGGACAGGTGGATTGATGGACAGTTGGGTTTATGGACAGGTGGATGAATAAATCAGGCAGATAATGGCATCTGTAGGGCCTCAGACAGTGAGGGGTAAGTCCCTGGAGCCTGGATATCCTGACTAATGAAGGGGCTCTTGGATGGGAAGGGAATAACTAACCTGCTGTCTGCCTTCTCCAAGAGACATTTGGTCAAGAACAAAGCCACCCCTGCCCTGGTGCCTGCTCCCTTCTGACCAACTGGTTCCAACTCAGTGGGGTCTCCTGAACTCTGGTAATTCGTCTGACACCAGAGCCTATAGGAATCACCCTGCCTCTGACATTCAGGGACTCTGCAATCTTGAGGCCCTCCCTCCCTGCCTCTCTTCAGGTCAGAGCTGCCGCCCCATAAATGCTTTCAAGCGTAGAAACATACACCCCTAAAGCCAGGAAAGTGTAAAAAAGATGAGATTCACTCCTCTACCATTTTTACAGATGAGGAAACTAAGGCCGAGCAAGGCCAAGAAACTTGCTTAAGGATGCACAGCAATAGAGCTGGGATTAGAGCTTGGGTCTTTCAATTCATTTATTCATTCATACATAGCAAGTAGGTACCTAGAGCCTAAAGTGCCAGGCTCAGTGCCTTTTCCCGGGCATGCTAGGCCTGTACATAAACTTTCATGTTAATTTAAAAGCTATTTCCATCCTCCCTATGACCTCCAGTTCCCCAGCAGGCTGGTCTATGCCTCACTAGCTGCATGCCTGGCACGACCCCTATGACAACACCCTCTCCCAGCAGATGAGGACGACTTCATTGTCAGGAAGGCTGGCTGGGACTGGTGTGTGCTGCCGTGTGCAGAGGAGGCAGTCACATGGGTGTGCTGTGAGCTGCACATTCCATCCCAGCCTTAGTGAGGACCGGGTTAGTCCCTGCACGCTCATTCTTGCCAGCTCAGACTGGAGCCAAGCATTAAACTGTTCAAGCCCCACAGCTGCCCCAGGGGAGCCATTGCATGGCACCTGGGAGCTCAGGGCCAGGAGCAGACCTCTGAATTCCTGCCCAAACCGGGGAATATGTGGTGAGAGGAGGTCATAGGGAGGTGCCTGGGGGCTGGACATTTGCAAGCCAGCTGAGCAGGCAGCACTCAGCACTTTCCTCTTCGCCCGTCCCACCATGGCCAAGGCAGGGGCAGCGTAGGGTAGCCAGCTTTGGAGAGATGGAGCCTCATGTCTGGGGCCAGAAGCCCAGCCCCAGGCAGGCCAGGGCTATTTGCTGGGCCTTGTATGAGGCTTCCATGAAGTATGTAACCTCACTGAAGACATGGAACTACTCAGAGTCGTTAAGAGACAAAGAAAGGCTCAGCTGTGTTTAACAGAAAAGCTTCTGGGAACAAATCAATGAATACGGGAACAAATCAATGAATACGAGAACAAAGGAAAACTGCAGAAGATGAACAGAACCAGAAGCCATGTCTAGGATGAAATTAACATGAGGTAGAGACTCCTGATGACATTGATCAGGATGAAAGAAGTATGAGGCAAGGGAGTAAAATCAAATGCCGAGTAAAAAGGGGGAACAACGTTGACCAAGGAATTTGAAGTAATTTAAAAGCTGTTATGAACAACACAAAAAAGAAAATTATAGGCCCATTTCACTTATGAATATTTAGACAGAAAAACACTAAACAAAATATTTGCTGACTGGATTCAGCAGAATTAAAATAATGACACCACATCACCATCGGGAAGGGTTTATCCCAGAAAAACATTCCAGAAAATCCACCAGTGTAATTCACTACATCATTAGATCCAAAGGAAAATCTATGATGTCAATTGATGTGGAAAAAATTTTTGATAAGGTCCTTTTGTATCTATGATGCTTATAAATTTGAAAATTCTAGGAAAATGAAGAAATTCCTAGAAAGGTATATAACATGTCAAAAGATTGGCCCAAGAAGTAGTAGAGAATTTCAATAGGTCAATCAATATTACAGAAATTGTAATGGTGTCAAAGCCCTCCCACTCCCCCAAAAATCAGCCCAGATGTTCTCGTGGGTAAGTACTGCTGAACCTGTATTTTATTTATTTATTTATTTATTTATTTATTTATTGAGACAAGGTTCTCATTCTGTCACCCAGGCTGGGGTGCAGTGGCCCAATCCTGGCTCTCTGCAACCTCCGCTTCCCAAGGCTCAGGTATCCTCCTGCCTCAGCCCCTCAGGTAGCTGGAACTACAGGTATGCACCACCACACCCAGCTAATTTTTGTGTTTTTAGTAGAGATGGGGTTTTGCTATGTTGCCCAGGCTGGTCTTAAACACCTGGACTCAAACGATCCACCCATCTCGGCCTCCCAAACTGCTGGGATTATAGGTGTGAGCCACCGCGCCCGGTCTGCAGAAACTTTCTAGAAACAATTAATTCCTATCGTATGCAAGTTGCTTAAAAAGAAAACACAAGAAAAAAAGAAACCAATGTAGCTTATTTTAGAAGTGTTGTCTTCATCATGAAAGCCAGATAAGACAATACCAAAAAGAAAAGTGTAGGTCCATTTCACTTATGAACATGGATAGAAAAACACTAAACAAAATCTTTCCTGCCTGAGTCCAGCAGAGTTAAAATAATGATACTACATCACCATCAGGAAGCGTTTATCCCAGAAAAGCATCCACATCTGAAAATCCACCAGGGTAACTCACTACATCATTCAATCAAAAGGAAAAATCCAATGATGTCAGCTGACGAAGAAAAAGTTTTTACTTATAAATACATAAAGCTTATGTATTTATGATTTTTAAAAATTCTTAGCAAACTAGGAGCATGAGAGAAGTTCCTTAATTTAGTAGGGATTTTTAATACCAAAAACCTACAGAAAATATTCCTAGTGGAGAAACTTTTTATATAATACATGTCTTTTAAGATGAGGAACAAGGCAAGAATGCTAGTTATTACCACTACTATTTAATACACAGAGCTGGAGAGCCGGGCTAGAGCTATAAGGAAAGAAAATAAGAGGTGTAATTATTGGAAGGGAAGAGATAAAACTGTCATTGTGTGTACATGGTGTGATCATCTACCTTGAAAAACTAACCCAATAAACTGACAAAATATTAGAAAAAATAAGAGAGTTCAGCAAGGTTGCCAGATACACAGTCAGCAACAAAAATCAATGACACTTTTACATCAGCAATAACTAACCAGAAAAACACAACATAATTTTGGCTTAAATAGAAAGTTTTTAAAATATATAATATATACATATAAATATACATTATATATAAAATGTATACATATATATATACATATACACACATTTAAAAAGCACAGCTGGGCATGGTAGCTCATGCCTGTAATTCCAGCACTTTGGGAGGCTGAGGCAGGAGGATTGCTTGAGCTCAGGAGTTCAAGACCAGCCTGGGCAACAAATTGCCAAAATTTTTTTTGAAAGCATTTAGTCAGGCATGGTGGCACATGCCTGTAGTCCCAGCTACTGAGGAGGCTAAGCTGGGAGGATTGCTTGATTCCAGGAGGTGGAGGCTGCAGCGAGCTGTAATTGTGCCACTGCACTTGAGCCTAGGCAACATAGCGAGATTCTGTATCAAAAAAATAAATAAATAAAGGTATATATAAATAAGTATAAAAATAATGTATATATAACATAATGTCTCTCTCTCCACACACACACACACACACACACACACACACACACACACTCACACACAATTATTATGTTTCTAATCACATGAATGAAATCTACACGTAGAGTCCAGGGTGTGTTTGGCAGCTCTGGGTGTTATCAGGGATCTGAGTTCCTTTATTTCTCCTTCACCCTCTTCTGCACACGAAGTCCATCCTCAGGGTACCCTCATGGTCCAAAGATGGCTGCGGAACTCCACCATCACGTCCCTATTACTGACTGGAAGCAGGAGGGAGCAATGAGCAGTGCTGGAGTCACCAAAGGGAAGCCCTTCCTTTTAAGGAGCCTTTCCAGAATCGGCACACAGCACTTCTGCTTGTATCTCAGTGCTGGAACCTATCCTGGGGCCCTGCCTCCTGCAAAGCTGAATGCATTGCCACCCCAAACAAAAAATCAGCGTTCGGTGACTGAGGGAGGAGGGAAGAAGGATATTGGAATGGGCATTGGTCAGGCGCTGCCACAGATCCCAGTCTCCAAAACAGGAAACTGAGGCACTGAGGTCCAGAGAAGTGAGGGAATTCACACACAGCCATGAAGCAAATTAGCAGCACAGTTGGGGTTTTCACCTGACTGTTGACCTTGCCATGGTACAGGTGTTTGCTCACACCCTGGTACATCCAGCCACTGGAGCACTGTCCCTCCTCACTTCCAGCCCTGCTGGGGTCAGGATCTGTTTTGGCTTTCTCTGTCCCCCCTACCTAATGTCACACCTGTGAGCTCCACCTCCCCAGCGTCAGCTTGGGACTTGGCATGGGGTAGAGGCTGTAAGCGGGAAGGCGGGCACACACCTTGGGAGCTGACAAAGTGCAAAGGGCTGAGACTGGCTTCACCCTTTCAACTGCAGATATTTACTTGTGGCTTCCATATGCTGTGCCTTGATGGTGATGTTTCATAAGTTTCACTTTTCAGGTGCATTTTTTCTTATTTTTTTGAGATGGAGTCTTGCTCTGTGGCCCAGGCTGGAGTGCAGTGGTGCAATCTCGGCTCACTGTATTCTCCGCCACCGGGTTTCAAGCAATTCTCCTGCCTCAGCCTCCTGAGTAGCTGAAATTACAGACACAGGCCACCACGCCTAGCTAATTTTTGTATTTTTAGTAGAGATGCGGTTTTGCCATGTTGGCCAGGCTGGGCACAAACTCCTGACCTCAAGTGATCCACCTGCCTGGCCTCCCAAAGTGCTGGGATGACAGGTGTGAGCCACCGTGCCCGGCCAGATGCATTTCTTAGCCGCTAAAAATGTTCATTCTGGCTCAGGCCTGGAAGAACATGTAGGCCACTTTTATTTTTATTTTTTTTAACAGATGGAGAAACTGAGACCCAGAGAAGCAAAAGGGTGTGTCCCAGATGCCAAGGTACCTGCAGCAAAGAATATTACCTAGCTGTCCCTCACTCTGGTTCTCCTTCATAGATACACACAGGATGATGGTATTTCCCCGCCTCCCTTGCAGTTGGGGCCATGTGGCTAGCTCTGGCTAATGAGATGTGAGTAGAACTGATGATGTGGCTTCTCTATCCCTCTTTTTTCCTGCCAAGGTGACCTTGGAGGCCACTGGTCCAGAACAGGGATTCACAAACTGTAATGTGCATGCAAATCACCTGGGGGTCTTATTAAAATGAAGATTCTGATAGTGGGGCCTGGGAGTCTGCATTTCCAACATGCAACCAGCTGATGCTGATGCCATCTGTCCTTGGACCACACGCTTGAGTAGGGAGGAGCTACAGGATGTGCCTGGCCCACTTTGGACTATTCACGAGCAAGAAATAAGCTTCACTGGGTTAAGCCACTGAGATGTGGGCATTAGTTTGTGATCTCAGCACAGTCTTACAAAATCACCATTTAGCCATCAACCAACATTGACGGAGATCCTACTACGAACTCCTGTGTGACCTGGGTGCCTCACTCTGAACGAGGCGCTCACTCTTGGGGTTGTGGAAGTGCAAGGTCAACTGCTGAGAATGAGAGTCTCCCTAAATGTTGCACCTGACATGCCTCTGTCACCTCACCCTGGTCCCAGCCCTGTAAGTCGATGTGGGGAGAAGGGATTTGAAGCTTGAACCTGTTGATTTCTGAGCTTGTGTTTCCTCCTGGGAAAGCAAAGGGCAGCCACACTCACCCTGGGCCCTTGTGTGGGGGCTGTGGCTGCAGCCAAAAGACTCCTGGGTTCCCTGGACGCCCATATCCCTCTGGTGCCAAAGCTGGACAGTTTGGAGGGAGGGCTGAACCGCGGCAAACCAATCAGCAAAGTGGCAGCTCCCACCGCTCCTGCCACACCCACCGCTCCTACCACACCCACTGCTCCTGCCACACCCACCGCTCCTACCACACCCACTGCTCCTGCCACTCCTGCCGCTCCTGTACACCCACCGCTCCTGCCACACCCACCACTCCTGCCACACCCACCGCTCCTGCCGCACCCACTCATGCTGAACCGTGTGTGCAAGCTCCATCCCTCACACTTCATCACCAAACACCCTTGACAATGACGCCTGCTTCCTGATCTGGCCATGGCCCAGGGCCCCTACTGCCCACACTTTCCTATCCTCAGTTATCAGAGAGAAAAAATTCCAAGAAAAATCCATGCTCTGATTCAGAGGGCTCTAGGTGGGCATAGCATTCTGCCCCGTTCTTGCCACCTCCCTGCCCCGTGGAGCCCTGCCTTTTTCACCATCTGCGACACCCATGCCCTGCTGCACCTCCTCATCATCTGGGTCTCCTTCCTCTGCGATGGACATGTCAGACCAGCGTGTCTCCCTCCAACTCTCTTCCTCACACTTCCTCATTTCTCCCGTCTTCCTTCTTGCCTCAGAGAGAGAGGTGGCTTAAAACTGTTCCTCTCAGGAACAACTAATCTGTGGCCACAGAGGTCAGAATAGTGGGTACCTGGGGAACAGAGGGTAAAGTCTTGGAAGGGGCATAAGGAACCTTCTGGAAGTGTAGCTTGACCTGGGTGATGATCACATGGGTATATACATAGTCATGTACATAGATATGTCAAGAGACAAAATTAGCCAGACATGCTGCCTCATGCCACCAGCTACTCAGAAGGTTGAAGAGGGAGGATCCCTTGAACCCAGGAGGCTGAGGCTGCAGTGCGCTATGTTCATGCCATTGCACTCTAGCCTGGGAGACAGAGCCAGACCCTGTCTCAAAAAAAAAAAAAAAAAAAAAGAGTTGTCAAGTTCTATAATTAATATTAGTGCAGTTTAAGCACTTTTCTGTATATACATTACCCCTCAACTTAAAAAACATATCACAGAGAGCTCTATGGGCAGTAGCAGAAATAAATAACAGCAGCAAAAACCGAAACTTAGGCATTGGAGTCATGTGGACCTGCACTGAAAACCTGGCTCTGTTTTCTAGCTGTGTAGCTTTAGGCAAGTTACTTAACCTCTCTGAACCTCACTTTTTTAAATTGAGATGTGGATTGTGAGGATTAGAAATGCTGCTTTTTATAAACAGTACTTAGCACAAGGGCTGGATCTTGCTGGGTGCTATGCACAATCGCTTTTATTGTTATTAATATCAGTGGCCTAGGGAGGACAGGAAGGTAGGACTGACCTTCTCTGGGTGCAGGCAATAAGGGGTGGGGGGCCTACAGAATTTAAAGATAAAATAAAACTGATGAGAAGTCAGTCTGCTTTTATGGTCACTGCGCAATGGCAGGTCTAAATAATTTCAGCGGTAAAATACTTTGTCCTGAAAATATCCTTTATTCATCTAAGTTCTAACAACTGGTACAGTAACTGTTAGAGTTTAATAATGCATATGTAAGCTTCAAATCAGCACATTTTCATTCTTATCCTTTAATAAACATATTCTACATGGAAGTCAACTTGGAGAACTTTAAGAAATATAGTTGCCCCCAGCGCATGTGGTCTCAGGAACACACATGAGTTGAGAGTAAGCTCCTCGCAACTCTAGAATCTTCCAAGCTTGCTTTGAATGCATTCCTGTCTCCACCGTCCAGCATTGATATTTCTGCATTTATTTTTATTATTATTTTGTGTGTGTGACAGAGTCTCTCTCTGTCGCCCAGGCTGGAGTGCAGTGGCAAGATGTCGGTTCACTGCCACCTCCACCTCCTGGGTTCAAGCAATTCTCCTGCCTCAGCCTCCCGAGTACCTGGGACTATAGGTGTGCACCCACCACATCCGACTAATTTTTGTATTTTTTTAGTAGGGATGGGTTTCACCATGTTGGCCAGGCTGGTCTTAAACTCCTGACCTCAGGTGTTTCTCCCACTTTGGCCTCCCAAATTACAGACGTGAGCCACTGGCCTGGCTGTATTTTTGCATTTAAACAGTAGAGTGAAATCAACAATGAGCGCGGAGTGATGGTAAAGATGACAATAAGAGTATTTCAATTTTGTCATTTTACGAAACTACTTGGAGTTTTGATTTGTATTACAGTTTTTAAAGGAGTAAAACAGTGTGAACTGTGAATGGTAATTATTTTGTTTGGTAAGTACAAATTTTAATTCATACATGAAAAATATTTGTTTCATTTCATGATTATTACTGAAAATAATTTTGTAGTATGAAGGAAGAGGGGTGTTAAAAATGATCTACTGTGGATGTAAAGTACTCTAGGCATGCTTCTGACTGAAACATCCGCATTTCCACAAGAATCTCAAAATAAAACAAAATAAAAAAGACCTCTTCTGTTTCTTTTCCTCCAAGTTTCTGGACCCCCATCTCCACCCTGGCCACCTCTTCCTGCCATAAATAATCAAATCCCACATTTTCATCTTCAACTTCTGTTTCCATTGCCTCTTCTAATAGGACAGCAGCCGTGGGGGGAGTCGCCTCCACGCTCACAATCCCCGTCTTGCCACTATATCAAGTCACACTTCTTCCTCACCGATCACCCATTCTGGAACCTCTGCTGTCCAGCTAGATCACTTTGAGGTTTGGACTACTACTGGTGGAGGTAACGGGGGCCCAGACAGCCCTTGACATCACCTCTTTTATCTTTGCCAAATTCTACAAACAAAGCCCATGTCTTTTCATCCCCTGCCCTCATGGCTGGGACATCGTTGATGTCCCCAAATCTTGGTGGTGTGAACTTGTATGTCTCACCTTTCACAGACATCACCATTTCCCATTGCACAGAAGGCTCTGCTCATACCAGGCACTTTGGCTCCCAGAATAAGCAGGCTATCATGCTATGTCCGACATCTAGGCGTTGGTACGTGCTGTTCCCTTGGCCTGGAACATTCTGCCCTCTCTCACCCTCTCTTTTCTTGGCTTTCTGAAATGGCACCTCCATCAGAAAGCGTCCCATACTCTTGGTCTGAGCAAGGGACCTTGCCTGGTATTCCTGAACTTCCACCTGCTTTCCCTCTGTTTTCTCCCTCTCTGGGCCTTGTGCTCAGGTCAGTGTTATGCCTTCAGCTCCTGCAGAGGTGACTTCAGAGGTGGCTGAATGAAACCAAATGGATTTGGCTCGACCGCATCATCTAGCAGTGCCCAGCAAGCACCGGCACACAGTAGGTCCAGCCTGCCCGGACTCGCCCACCACGGGCCCCCTTCCAGAGCTGGGAGGCAGGCCAAGGGAGGTCCCTTATTGCCAAGAGCAAACAGGCCGCCCAGGGAAGTTTTGCTCTGGGTCACACCCGCCTCTGGGTGGCTGCCAATCTGCCTGCCAGAAACCGCAGGCTGGGCCGCGGCTACCCAGAGTCAGGGCCACGGAGCTTAGGAGACCTTGGGTCAGCTCTGCAAAGGGGGTGTTTACGGAATGCTTCCGGTATCTGCAGCACCACTGGGGTTCGGACAGGGGTCTGGGATAGGGCTTCGCAACTACAGCAGGGCTAGGACCCTCTCGGGCTGGGAGGAGATAGGAAGGCCCCTGCAAGCTGTCACAGGCTCTTGGTGCTGGCACTGGCTGGGGCTTTCACCCACACACACGCACACGCGCACACACACACACACACACACACACGCACACGGACAGGCACCCCCTTGGTGGCCCTCACAGTTTCACCTTCAGGTAAATGGGCTCATCCTTTGGGCCATGAGGATGGGAAGCAAAGCAAGGAATGAAAAAGCTAGTGTGTGTGTGTATGTGTGTGTGTGTGTGTGTGTGTGTGTGCGCGTGTGCCTGTGTGTGCCTGGGAGTGACCTCACAGCTGCCGGAACATAAAGACTCACAGGTCCGCCTCCCAGGCTCAAAGCTGGCTCTGCGGGGGACATGAGAGGCACACTGAAGACCCACCTTCTGGCCTTCTCCCTCCTCTGCCTCCTCTCAAAGGTAAGGAGGCCCGGGCCCTTGAATGCACTGCTGACTACTTGGGTGTGGAGGGGATGGGGATGTAAAAATCACAGCCAAGGACCCCCTTGGCAGAATTCCTCCAGGGCCCCACATTGGGCACAGTCTGGCCACCATGCCTAAGCAGGGCTTCTCTCCCTGGCACTCAGAGCTGCCTCCGGCCAGCCCTGCTCTGTGACCTCAGACACATGCCTTGCCTTCTCTGGGCCTCAGCATCTTCCCAGGTGAAGGGTATACAGTTTGTGAGGCCTTTGTGAAGGCCATTCAAGATCATTCATCAAACTTACCGGCAAATTAAGGAGGATTTTAATGTACCCTCATTATGAATGGGGGTACTGAAGACATAAAATGCTTAGCCTGACTCTGAGCCAGCATTTGGATGGATACCTAGCTGATTGGAAGGTTTATTCTGCAAGGGCATCAATGCCGTTGGACTCTTAGGCAGTGAGTGACCCGCCCGCCCTAGCTAGAGGGGGACAGGAGACACCTCTGTGGAGTAATGACCTTCTCCCCGAATGCTGCATGGGACATTCACCAAAGAGCTTGTGGGACATCTACCTTGTCTAACATGCACAACAACCCCATAAGGAATTTTCAGTTAAGTGAGGCTCAGAAAGGGTAAGCAACTTGCTTAAAGTCACACAGCAAAGAAAGGTCAGAGCAATAGAGAAGGGCCATGGCGGAGCCCAGAACAGACACGGATGTAGGGGGAGAGGCACTCCAGTCTGTGCCTCCCCAAGCCCAAACTGGACCAAGGCAACAGCTGCTAAGCCTTGTCATCCCCTCGGCAAATGCTGAGTTCTCAGAACCATGGAATCGGCCCCACCACAAGCCACGATCTCACTGTATTTTCACGCTCCTTTCAGAAGCATGGGCAGGAGCTTCTCTCCCTCAGGCCCCAAGTCTTGGTGCCCGGGAAGGCTGAGAACCACACTGGCATCCTGCCCTGCTGTTTGTTCTTCCAAAGGGGATGGGTAGGACATGATGCCAGTGTGGGTGGCTTGGGTAGTTGGAATAGGGGACTTGGGGCTCTAGGAGGGAGAAGGGGTCCAGGATTATGAGAGAACAAAGTAAAGCTGTCCTAGACTTGCCATTAGGGTGAGACTTACGGGGCCATTCTTCCCTGGTCCTAGGAAGCAGGGACTGCAGAAAACACACAGGGACTTAGTCACCACGACATGGAAAGCCACAGCAACCCTCACAGGGAGAACTCTGAGTCTTCCAGGCTGACCGTTGGCTCCGGGGCTCCCGGCTGTGGACCGGGACAGGAGGCAGACACCTGGACACAAGCAAAACCACATCGATCAAGGACTGGCCAGGACCTCATTTAATCTCCACCATCACTCATAAACAGGTGTTCTCTACTCCACTTTACAGAGGAGAAAACTGAGCTTCACCTCCACCTTCCAAAGCCGTTCGTCCACGTGTTCAGTCACGTAGCAAGTCAGTGGCAGAATCTGAATGTCAACTCTTGCCCAAAAAACTCCATGCCCAGTGCTCCTGCCCCAGATATCATAAGCCTTGCCCCTCCCCAACCCCCAGATATCACAGCAAGGCCCTGGGGAAACTGAGGCACAATGGGACAACTTGAGTTTGGGCCTTGGATGTCAACCTGAACTTGGATGTCAATCCTGATTCTGTCTCTCACTGGCTGTGTTACTACATGCTTTGAGCTCCAGTTTTCTCATCTTTAAAATGCGCGTAACGATGGCACCTCACATTGGAGGGGTAAATGAGACAATGGCACTTGGCACATGACATACATATGGTATCACATGGGATAATTGTACACTAGAATAGTTGATGTCATTAATAGCCTCTCCTGGGTATTGGGGCCTACAGAGTCCTGCCCCCTGACAAACATGGCCAGTAGAGGGGTCCACAGTGGGATCCCGGGTGCACAGCTGCTGGTCTATTTCCTGGCACTCCTGTTTTCAGGTGGGAGGGACCTGAGGGTCACTCCTGACAGTCCTCCCACCATTGCCCACAAGCCAAGGCAGCTGAACCTCTGACTTAGAAGGGAACCCAAAAGCCCAGACTGTTTCTATGTGAATCACTTGTGGTTATGAAAATGCAGATTCAGGCCGGGCACGGTGGCTCATACCTATAATCCCAGCGCTTTGGGAGGCCAAGGTGGGTGGATCACGAGGTCAGGAGTTTGAGACCAGCCTGGCCAGCATGGTGAAACCCCGTCTGTACTAAAAATACAAAAAATTAGCCAGGCATGGTGGCGCGCACCTGTAATCCCAGCTACTCAGGAGGCTGAGGCAGAAGAATTGCTTGAATCTGGGAGGCGAAGGTTTCAGTGAGCCAAGATCGTGCCACTGCACTCCAGCCTGGGTGACAGAGCAAGATTCCATCTCAAAAAAAAAAAAAAAAAAAAAGGAAAAGAAAAAAAAGAAACTGCAGATTCGGATTTGTTATATAAAAATCCGGCTTTGGATTTATAGAGGGGCTCCAGATGCTGCCTGTCTAACAAGCTCCCAGGTGACGCTGCTGCTGCTAGTTCAGACCACACCTTGAGGGGCGAGGTCAGGCCATCGTCTCTCTAATCTGAACAGCCTGCAGTGATGGGACCCGCTCCCTTGTGAGGCAGCCAGACACCTAGCTCTGTGCGTTCATCTGCTACTCAGTGCTGTCTTAGTGGGGGCCGTGATCACCTCCTACTTTGTGGCCCCCACCAGAGGCTGGTCAGCCAGTTTGCAATGGCTCCTAGTGGCCAGTGTGGGAGTTGCCAGGAACTGAAAGCAGGTTTGCAGGATTGTGGGTGGGGGGGCACTGGGCGGGGCAGGGGGTGAGGCAGGGCAAAGGGGTCATTGCCTGCTTTGGGGCTGCACAGGAGATATAAGGTCATTAGCCCCATCAATGTAAACTGCAAGTCTCCCTTCCTCTAGATAAAACCCTCATCCCCTAAGGATCCTACTAAACTCAAACTTGGGCCCCCACAGATGGGGCCACTGGAAGCATCTTGAATTATGCTTCCTTCTTGGTTCCCACCTTCAAATGGGCGGACAGGGAGCCCACGGCACCTTGCTGTATGTTGCGGTTGTTTTTCTGATGTGGGTGGTGAGGGGCAGGCAGGTCACATGGGCTGATACCCTGACCCTGTCACTGGGGAGTGGGTGCCTGGCTTACGGACACAGTCTACCCCCACCCCGTGACCCTGAGTCCTCACTTGGGAAGCAGGACCTGGGACGCTCCCAGCCCTGAATCGAACACACTGACTTGTGGCAAGTCCCCGTCCCTCTCTGGAGCTCCGTTTCCCCATCTGTACCTGGCAGGCGGAGGAGGTTAGACTGGGTCAGAGGTGCTGAAAACCTAGCTGAGCTGCAGAAGCCGCTGGACAGCTTGTTAAAAATAACGATTCCAGGTCCCAGAGTCAGGGACTTCTGATTTTGTAAACCCCAGAGTGGGTTGGGGGGTCTGTATTTTCCCAAGTCTCCTGGCTGATCTGGTGCACATCCAGAGCTGGGAAGCTTGCTGGATGAATCAAAAGGCCAAAAACATCCATGATACGGTTCAATTTATTCGTCCTAAGATAAGCAGCCATATGCTGGAAAATGTACCAGCCCCTGCCATTTTCATCCTTGACTTGTTACTTTTGCCTTTCTGTAAGCTCCCAGAGGGCAGGCAGGGGCTGAGCCCTCTGCCGTCATTAACAACAATGATCATCAAAGCTAAGTGCACTGAGCGCCTACTGCATGCCAGGCCCTGTGCTGAGGGTTTGCTGTGCAACATTTCACGTACTCCTCAGAGTAATCCTCTGAGTTAGATACTTCAAGGAAACTGAGGCTCAGAGAGCTTAAGTAACGTCCTCGAGGTCACTCAGCTAATAAGGGGCAGAATTAGAACTGGAAGTCCAGCCAGGTGCAGTGGCTCATGCCTGTAATCCCAGCACTTTGGGAGGCCGAGGCAGGTGGATTGCCCGAGCTCAGGATTTCAAGACTAGCCTAGGTAACATGGTGAAACCAGATCTTTACTAAAAATACAAAAATTGCTGGGCGTGGTGGTGGGTGCATGTAGTCCCAGCTACTTGAGAGGCTGAGGCATAAGAGTCACTTGAACCCAGGAGATGGAGGTTGCAGTGAGGCTGGGATTGTGCCACTGCACTCCAGCCTGGGCAACAGAGCAAGACTCTTGACTCCAAAAATAAAAATAAAAAGTAAAGAACTGGAACTCTAGCCCAGAGTCCTTGCCTGTAACCACATGCCATGCTGCCTCTTAGGGCATGTTGTGGGACTACTGGCCTTCGAGTTCAGGTCTGCATGGCTCTGAGGCTAAGGTGTGGACCCCACACTGCCCAGCCTGGCAGAGGTGGCTGGTTGTGAGGGTCTCACTGCCCACCTTGAAAGCCCGTGGCTGAGTGAGGTCTCTGTCTCTTCAGGTGTGTACCCAGCTGTGCCCAACACCATGTACCTGCCCCTGGCCACCTCCCCGATGCCCACTGGGAGTAGCCCTGGTGCTGGATGGCTGTGGCTGCTGCCGGGTATGTGCACGACGGCTGGGGGAGCCCTGCGACCAACTCCACGTCTGCGACGCCAGCCAGGGCCTGGTCTGCCAGCCCGGGGCAGGACCCGGTGGCCGGGGGGCCCTGTGCCTCTGTAAGCAGGTTTGCAGGACTGAGGGGGGTGTGTGAGTGGGAGGTCAAGGCCGTGGTGTCCTGAATCAAAGTGCAGTCCTCCTCTATCTCCTTGGATGCTCACTTCAGGTACCCCACCCATTCCAGCTGAACTTGGTGGCCCAAAGCCCATTCTGTACTCCCTCCTCTCCCTTCTTGGCCTCTGCTTAAATCATCTTACTACCCCAGTAACCTTCCCCCATCCCTACCTGTCCAAATCATTGCCAACTTTCAAAGCCAGGTTCAAACACCTTCTCCCCTGAGAAGCCCTCCCAGATTCTTCAAATCGGATGCCACCATTCCCTTCTCAGGATCCTTACAACACTTTGAGGAAAATAAAAGTGCAACCTCTTATTTAGGGCATAATATGTGTCCAGAACTGTGCTAAGCACTTACTACACACATCACATCATCCTCACAATAACCCTACAATGGGAAGTACTTTCAGACCCATTTTATGAATGAGGAAACTGAGGTTCACCAGCATTAAGGGACATGCTTCATGTCACACGGCATGGGACCGGATCCAACAGGCTCTAAGGAACATTTCATTCTGTCTTCACTCAGAGTAGGGGCCCTCGGAGCACTGCTGGAATCCTGGGTTTGCTATGTACTCACCAGTCACCCGAGCAGGTGACTTTCCTCACCACTCTTCTAGGCCTTGGTGTCCTCTGATGCTTTGGGGCAGGCTTTGCAAGCTGGCTCTAGTGACTTGGTGCCAGAGAATTCGTTGTCTTGGGAGGGCTGTCCTGTGCATGGTAAGACTTCTAGCAGCATCCCTGAACTCCACCCACTGCATACCAGGAGCACTCCCCGTCCCCCACGTCATGACAGTCTGTCTTCAGACAGTGCCAAATTTCCCCAGGGGGCAAAATCTCCAGTCGGGAACCATCACTTTAGAGAAATGCAAAGAGGCAAGAGATTGTTCTTCTTCTTTCTTTTTTAATAATAAGCCTTGTGGAACAATTTACCTCTTTCATTCATGTGCATGTCACACTTTTATAAAAATAAGAACGAGAGAGAGAGAGAAGCTCATGAATTATTGACAATTAATCTATTTATAGGAAAAGCATTGTCAAAAAACAACAGGCCAGGCACAGTGGCTCATGCCTATAATCCTATCACTTTGGGAGACTGAGGCGGGGGGACCACTTGAGCCCAGGAGTTCTAGGCCAGCCTTGGCAACATACTGAGATCCTATCTCTGCAAAAAAAAAAAAAAATAGCCAGGTGTGGTGGCACATGCCTGTAGCTACTTGAGAGGCCGAGGCGAGAGGCTCACTTGAGCCTGGGCAACAGACCAAACCCTATCTCAAAAAAAAAAAAAAAAAAAGTAATAACTCCATGTGAAATGCTTTATTTACAAATATTGTAAGGATAAGGAGGATGATTTGTTACACAGACTGAGGGATGATTGCTTGTGAAAATGTATCTGAAGAACAATTGAGATAAGTACCACTTTGCTTACAAAGCTGTTATTTACATTTGCCATGACACGTGTAAACAGCACCCACAGAGTTTATTTTACACTTGCACAAGCCCTTACCATGTGTAAGACACTGAGGGTTTCGCAAATATAAACTCATTTAATCTCACAACCACATGAGGTAGGTACTAATGTCACCCTTCTCTCTCTTTTTTTTTTTTTTTCCTGAGACGGGGTTTCGCTCTTGTTGCCCAGGCTGGAGTGCTGTGGCAAGATCTCCGCTCACCGCAACCTCCGCCTCCCAGGTTCAAGCGATTCTCCTGCCTCAGCCTCCCTAGTAGCTGGGATTACAGGCATGTGCCACCAAGCCCGGCTAATTTTGTATTTTTAGTAGAGACAGGGTTTCTCCATGTTGGTCAGGCTGGTTTCAAACCCCTAACCTCAGGTAATCTGCCTGCCTCGGCCTCCCAAAGTGCTAGGATTATAGGCGTGAGCCACCGCGCCTGGCCCACTCTTCTGTTATAAATGGAAAAAAGAGGTATAGAGAAGCTAGGCAACTTGCCCAAGGTCACAAAGCTCATAACTAGCAGAGCTGAGATTTGAACTCAGGGAGCTGACTCCACAAACTCCATTGCTCAACTGCCTGACACGCAGCTGTTGAATAGTACATAGGCTGTGATTGTCGATAAGTGTATTAAGGGATTTTTCGTATTCCATCTTAATTCAGACTTCAAACACCGCAGGCCAAAGTGTACTTGGGTCCCTGGTCCTTCCTGCAACTCCCCACCTTAGTCTGTCAACATGGTGGGTGCTCATGAGTGCTTAATGATTTAAACTGATTTAAAGTTCACCGGGAACTGGTGAACCCCAAAGAGTCCAGCTAACACATCACAAAGGCTCAGTCTGGGGCTTTGCAGGGAACACGCTGCCAAAAACCTCTCCTATCACTCATTGAACGCCCTTCTGTAAGGGCCAACTCTGAGCTGCGAGACGCGCTACAGATTCACCATCGTGTAACAGCACATCCAATGCCGGGATCCTCATCTCCTGCCCCCCAGATCGGTCTCCCCCGTCTGTTGAAAGCATCTCCATGCTTCTCATGGCTCAGGCTCAAGACCTTGGAGTCATTCTAGATGTCTCTCTCTCTCTCTCTCTCTCTCTCTCTCTGAGATGGAGTCTCACTCTTTCACCCAGTGTGCAGTGGCATGATCTTGGCTCACTGTAACCCCCACCTCTTGCGTTCATGCGATTCTCATGCCTCAGCCTCCCAAGTAGCTGAGATTACAGACTCCTGCCACCATGCCCAGCTGATTTTTGTATTTTTAGTAGAGATGGGTTTTTGCCATGTTGGCCAGGCTGGTCTGGAACTCCCCACCTCAAGTGATTCACCCACCTCAACCTCCCTAAGTGCTGGGATTACAGGCATGAACCACCACAGCTGGCCTAGACGTCTCTCTTTTCTCACCTCCCACATACCATCCACCAGCAAATTCATCACGGTATTTCCAGCATCTGACACTCCCGTCCCTTCTGTGGCTACCACCCTTGTCTGAGCCCCGTCATCATTGGCCTGGATTTTGCAGTAGCCCTATAATCATCTCCCTCCTTCTCTCCTTGCCCCTGGTCTATTCACAACACAGCAGAGAGCTCCTGGGAAGTCATAAGCCAGATCACCTCCCTCCTCTGCCCCAAGCCTTCTGGTGGCTTCCCTTCTCAGAGGAAAAGCCAAAGTCCCCACAGTGGCCTACAAGGCCCCACAGGATCTTGCTCCTGCTTCCTCTCTGACCTCATCTCCTCCTGCTGTCTGCTGCAGTCACATTGGCCCCTTGCTGTTCCTTAAATACCCCAGGCACACTCCTGCCTCAGGGCCTTTGCACTGGCTGTTCCCTCTACCAGCATTATTTCTCAGTGAGGTCTTTCCTGCTGGAGGATTAGATGAGCCAGGGGACTTACAGCATTTTGCCCCAAGCCTGGCACATAACAGATGCTATGTGGAAGCATAACCCACTCCCATATATTGAGCATCTGCTATGTGCCAGGCTTGGGGCAAAATGCTGTAAGTCCCCTAGCTCATCTAATCCCCCAGCAGCCCTGTGAGCCAGGTACCAAGGCTCAGAGAGGCAAAATAACTTGCCCCAGGCCCCACAAGTGGGAGCCAGAGTTGGAACCTGAGTATGTGTGGTTCTGAAACCCCTGTGTGTGTATAGACCTACTGGAAGGTTTTCTCAGAAGATCTGGGAGAACCTGTTTGCTAATGAGTCCTTTCCCCAGACATAGCTCAGTGGTCACCAAAGTCTCACATACACGCTGTTCCTCATCTGCACTTCCTGAGCGGCTCACATGCCTCTCCAGCGCTCTTACTTCATTCTGTCTTGGAGATGATGCCCTCACACCTGTGCCCCCTCCCCAGGCTCGTAAGTCCCTCGAGGCAGGAACTGTCCTCTTTCTGTCTAGGAGCACAGTGGTTGGCACACAGGAGGGAAACAGTAAATACCTCTGGAATGATAAGGAGTAGGGCTATTTTATCAGTGTATCTCATGTGCCAAGCCTTATGCCAGCTATTCATTCAAGGGGCATTTCCTGCAGTGCTGTGTGTTACACCTAGGCTCTGAGCCCATCAGAGGGATGCAGAGATGCACACTGGCAGCCCCAGCCCTCAAGGAGTTCATGTCCAGTGGAAGAAGCGGCAATAACACCCATATCTTGAGGGCTTCATTGAAAGAGTGTTCCCTGAGCACTTAGGCCATGCCTAGCACTGTGTGCTAGAGGGTATGGACATGTCATCCCATGGAACCTGGAGGTACAGTTACCGAGCTCATTATTGCTGTTGTTCAGGCCACTCAGAGAAGTTAAGTAACTTACTCAAAGACACACAGCCGGCAAGTTAAGCCCTGACATGACAGTGATGACTACAACACAAGTGGACAATGACTTTGTTGCATGAAATCTCAGTGTGCATAGAATACTTAAACGTTATTAATATATAGTAACTATACTAACGATAATAAGCAAGGACATATGGAAGATCTCCTTTATGTTGTGATCATTACACCTGTCATTCCGAGTAGTCTCTACCACCTTGGAAAATAAGTACCATTATATCCCACCTTGCAAATGAGGACACTGAGGCAAGAAGAAGTGAAATCACTTGGCCCAGGTCCACAGCTAAGAAAGGGCAGAGCTGGGGGGTCAGTCCAGTCCTGTCTTCTTGCAATCCCTGTGCCAGGATGCAGGGTGCCCCAGCAGGCTGGTGGAGGGCTGGGGAGAGGTGCATATCCTGGGCTGGAGCCCTGGGCAGGGCTTAGCTACTGTGAGACCGCTGCCTCCTGCGGCGGGATCTGGGCAGCTCTGCAGAGAGGGCTGTGCCGCCTTGCGGGTCACCGATGGGGGTGCGGTTTCTTCTCCGCAGTGGCAGAGGACGATGGCAGCTGTGAGGTGAACGGTCGCCTGTATCAGGAGGGGGAGACCTTCCAGCCCCACTGCAGCATCCGCTGCCGCTGCGAGGACGGCGCCTTTACCTGCGTGCCGCTGTGCAGTGAGGACGTGCGGCTGCCCAGCTGGGACTGCCCCTACCCTAGAAGGGTCGAGGTCCTTGGCAAGTGCTGCCCAGAGTGGGTGTGCGGCCAAGGAGGGGGACTGGGGGCCCAGCCCCTTCCAGCCCAAGGTGAGCGCAGCGCTGGTCCAGGTCAAGGGCAGGACTGCCTGGGGGCGCCAAGGGCCACCTGGGGGGTGAGGTGGGGCGGGGCTTCCTGGGTACCAGGACCCAGGGACACATCAGAAGCTGGGAGGGGCAGAGGCTGAGGAGGGAGATAAGAAAGAGGAGCGGAGGGCCGGGCGCGGTGTTTCGCCTCTGTAATCCCAGCACCTTGGGAGGCCGAGGTGGGAGGATCACGTGAGGTACGGAGTTCGAAACCAGCCTGGCTAACATGGGGAAACCCCTCTCTACTAAAAATTCAAAAATTAGCCGAGCATGGTGGCCGGTATCTGTAATCCAGCTACTTGGGAGGCTGAGGCAGGAGAATCGCTTGAACCCAGGAGGCAGAGGTTGCAGTGAGCCCAGATCACGGCACTGCACTCCAGCCTGGCCCACAAGCATGAAACTTCGTCTCAAAAAGAAGAAGAAAAGAAAGAGGAGTGGAGGGTCACCAGGCCTCCCACTTTAAAACCGATAAACAAAAAGCCACTGCCTTTGAGATGTGTAATTTAAAACCATAAATAATTAAAAATAAAAACTGGGTGACAGAGTGGAGAGAGGAAAGATAGGTTAGGGTACATGAACCAAATTCTCACATTTCAGAGATATAATAGAGCTAAGCTCTTAGAATATATAATGTTACTGTCTTTATAATATATTGATACATATTAATAAAATATTATTAATTTATTGTTATTTGGGCTTATTAAAAAAGGAACTCAAAACTGAACCAGGCAAGGTGGCTGCTCTGGAATGTGGGCTGAGGGTGGGCTACAGATGGAGAATAGACAGTTACCTCCCACCGTCCCACTATAAATCTTCAATTTTAGAGATTTTTGCTGTTGCTGTGTTGCTTTTTGAAAATTATTATCACATGAATGTGACTTTTTAAAAAAGGCAACTGAAAAGAGGAGGATTGGTTTCATAAATGCTGCTGCCACCCACAAGAGGTAGTCGAGTGTTTTGGGTCAGGTGCACGGTGTCCGCACCAGCCCCGCCACCCCCTTTTTGCTGTGTGACTCTGAGAAAGTTGCTTAACTTCTCTGTGTCTCAGTTTCTCCAGCTGTCCAATGGGGACAATAAGAGCATCCACTTCATAGCGTTGTGAGAACTGCTTGAGTTTGTTCAAGTCAAGCAGCTGTAGCAGTGCCTGGCACATGGTACTGTATCAGAGGTAGCCGTTATTATCCCTGTGATGGAATATGATATATCCATTTAAATACATAGGAAAACGCGAGTGAGTTTGCCTTATGAATAAAAGCAGGATAAGAAGGTGTATTTCCAACTTAATCTCAACTAAGTGTGTCCCTATGCATGTATACAGGTATAGCTACACGTACACATGCATACACAGCCCACACATATGGGTAGAAGTCAGGGTTTCTTAACCTCACCACTAACGACAATCAGGGCAAGTAATTATTTGTTGGGGGGGCTTTCCCGTGCACTGCGGGGTGCTTAGCAGCATCCCTGGCTTCTACTCACCAGATACCAGTAGCATCCGCCCAAATGTGATGACCAAAACTGTCTCCAGATATTGCCGAACCTTTCCTGGGAGGCAAAATTACCCTAGTTGGGGACTACTGGTGTAAGACTAGAAGGAAGGACACCAAAATATTCACAGAGGGAGACTTGGAGCAGAGAAAAAGCTAGACCGTGGTAAACCCGCCATCTGGTTCCTGGCACAAGAATCCTGGAATCTTTAGCATCCTTGCCACTGGGTCAAAGCACTACTCCACACAGGCTGGGCACCCTCTGCCTGTAAAATGCTGTTTGTCCAAAGAGATGAGAAAGCTGTAGTTGACTAAAGGGCCATTGTGACCAGCAAACTCTGGTTGCCAAATAACTAATATTTATGGAAATCTTACAAGTACCAGGCACTGTGCTAGGCACTTCATGGCCATCATTTTATTCGATGCCATCCACTGTTAGGAAATTTACATAAGAAGAAACTGAGATGCAGAAAGCTGAGCCATTTGACCAAGATTGCCGTGGCCGCTGGTGGGTGGGTTGACTGAGCTGCTGAGCCCTGGCTGCTCAGTGCTAACTCTTGTTCTTTCTCCCCTAGGACCCCAGTTTTCTGGCCTTGTCTCTTCCCTGCCCCCTGGTGTCCCCTGCCCAGAATGGAGCACGGCCTGGGGACCCTGCTCAACCACTTGTGGGCTGGGCATGACCACCCGGGTGACCAACCAGAACCGCTTCTGCCGACTGGAGACCCAGCGCCGCCTGTGCCTGTCCAGGCCCTGCCCGCCCTCCAGGGGTCGCAGTCCACGAAACAGTGCCTTCTAGAGCAGGGCTGGGAATGGGGACATGGTGTCCACCATCCCCAGCAAGTGGCCCTGTGCCTGGGCCCTGGGCTGATGGAAGATGGTCCCTGCCCAGGCCTTTGGCTGCAGGCAACACTTTAGCTTGGGTCCACCATGCAGGACACGATTAACACCCTGCCTGGTCTGCCTGGACCCCGAGGTACAGTGGAGGTGCAAGACCTAGTCCCCTTTCCTCTAACTCACTGTCTAGGAGGCTGGCCAAGATGTCCAGGGTCCTCTAGCCCATTCCCTGCCTACACACACCGCTTATATCAAACATGCACACAGGCGAGCTTTCTCTCCAACTTCCCCTGGGCAAGAGATGGGACAAGCGTTCCCTTAATATTGAGGCTTCAGCAGGTGCTGGGCTGGACTGGCCATTTTTCTGGGGGTAGGATGAAGAGAAGGCACACAGAGATTCTGGATCTCCTGCTGCCTTTTCTCGAGTTTTGTAAAATCGTTCCTGAATACAAGCCTATGCGTGATCTTGTGTGTCAGGCCTGTGTTTTCTGAGAAAGCCCTCCCATTATCTGGGGCAGAATCCGGGGCGGAGTTCTCTGTGAACCTCACAAGGTGAAATCACACAGTCTTAAAGAAAGACAGAAGACAGGCCTTCAAGTGATCCATGAAACCCAATTCGTATTAATAATAATTAACTTTTTTTTTTTTTGAGACGGAGTTTTGCTCTTGTTGCCCAGACTGGAGCTGGAGTACAATAGCACGATCTCGACTCACTGCAGCCTCCCAGGTTCAAGCAATTCTCCTGCCTCAAGACTCCTGAGTAGCTGGGATTACAGGCGCGTGCCACCATGCTCGGCCTCTTTTTTTGTATTTTTAGTAGAGAGGCGGTTTTGCCATGTTGGTCAGGCTGGTCTCGAACTCCTGACCTCAAGTGATCCACCCGCCTTGGCCTCCCAAAGTGCTGGGATTACAGGCGTGAGCTACTGCGCCCAGCCAATAATTAACATTTCTTGAGCACCTACTATGTGCTAGGCACTAGCACTTTATACAGACCAGTGCTTCCCAGTGTTTTCGACCAGAGAAGAGCAGGGAGAATGAAGGCTGCCTCCTAGGGACTGGGGAGCATAGCCTGAAATCAACTAACCCAAGGGTGAAATTGTTTGAAGTCTCATGTTTTATCGTTTACAAACAACAACAACAAAAAAACAAAAACACTCAACACCAAATACATAAATTTTACATCTTCCTCCATGGTCTACCTGTGTTTGTTTAAAAAGTAAAACTGTATTTCCATTAGGATCCAAGCAGGAAATTAGAAAGCACTCTTGGTATTTAAACAGGGATTTCTTCTTATTGAACTAATTTTATTAAGGTATAATTTACGCACAGTTAAATATACAGGTTTTAAGCATATGGTTTAACGAGTCTTCATTATCATACACGCTCATGTAACCAACTCCTCAATCAAGGTATAAAACATTTGCATCATCTCAGGGAGTTCCCTCTGGCTCCTTCCCAGTTATCTCTCTGCTCCCCAAGGCAATGACTGTTCTGATTTCTACCACCATAGATGAGCTTTCCTGTTCTTGAACTTTGCATTAATACAACCATAGAGTAGGTACTCTATAATGAATGACATCTTTCACTCAACATAATAAAATAAAAGGAATTTAATGAGAAGACTTAGTTACCCACCTGAGAGGCCAAGTAGGGGACCGTGTGATGCAAGAGGAGAAACTCAACACCAGCCCTCGGGGTGGAGGGGCAGAAGGAGGGCAGAGCCCAGAGCTGGCACCAGCAGGCAGAAGATGGGGACCCGGCAAGGCTGTCTGCTGGGAGCTGCAGCCGCTAAGGAGACGCAGCCTTGTAGACCTAACAAAAAGTAGACAGAGGTGGAGAGATGTGCCCCCGCTTCTACCTGCTGCTATCCCCCTGTTTCCGGTTATGCTTCCCATGAGTCAAACCTGCTGGGAAGGTGGAAGAAAGGGGAGCCTTGGAGATGCAGGACAATTAAGGGTAGGGAGGGTTCTGAGAATGAGGGCAATTCCCAGACACAGTGTTTGTAAATTACCCACCCCAGGTAGAGTTGCTGGCCACAGAGGCCCGTGCTGCCCAGCCCCCAACACTCATCTCCGGTATCAGCCACTCCAGAAACCTTAGTTTGAGAATCACAGGCTGAATTTGAGCCATGTAACCTTCACAGAGCCCCTGCATGGCAAATCTAACTAACTCCAGCTCAGGCAGGAGGCAACACCCGGGAAAGTGAGCTGTCTAAAAGCTGGTCTACAGCTGGGGTGGGATTTTAGTCCAACCTGAGTTTATCTGACTCTCCAGAATGGCTGTTGGGGTCTCTCATAGACTGAGAATTTCCATGGGTCTGGTTCTGCAAGGGTAAACCCTAAACACATTTCCAGGCGAAATTCTGATGACGTCCCCCCAAACAGGGAGAACATGGACAAGAACGAGGAATGGGCACTGAGGGACTCCCACACATAAGGCTGTCTCTGCCAAGTGCTCTGTCCCCACCGTTGCACGTCATCCTTGGGACATTCCTGAAGGAAAGTGCCACAATACTCCCTGCTTAGAGATGAGTAAACTGAGACCCAGAGTGATTAACAAGCTGTCCTGGAGTTGTGGAGCTGGGACTCAGGCCTATGACCTTACAACTGAGCTGCTGCTGTGCAGTGGGGGAGTGAGCGGCCTCGGCCAACCCGCCCAGGTGTGCGTCCTGGCTCTGCTATTTCCTAGCACTGTCATCTTAGGCAAAGTACTTAACCTCCTTGTGCCTCAGTTTCCCCTTCTTTAAAGTGGGGATAATGGCAATACTCAACACAGAGGATTGTTGAGAGTGTTACGTGATTTACAAAAAAAATTTAGGGCCGGGCACGATGACTCACACCTGTAATCCCAGCAATTTGGGAGGGCAAGGCGGGCAGATCACTTGAGGTCAGGAGTTCAAGACCAGCCTGGCCAACACATGAAAACCCCATCTCTACTAAAAATACGAAAATTAACTGGGTGTGATGGCACACACCTGTAATCCCAGCTACTCAGGAGGCTGAGGCACGAGAATTGCTTGAACCGGGGAGACAGAGGTTTAGTAAGCCAAGATCGTAGCACTGCACTCCAGCCTGGAGGTACGGAGGCCGAAAGATTGAGGGTCATGATCAACTCGGTATACCACTGGAAGCTATATGAGTAAGCAGCAAACTATTTCTCATAAATGCAGAATGTTGGCAAACTGACAAACTGTTTCTGCCACCCAGAAGGAATGCTGAGGGCTGTCAGGAAAGCCCCAAGCATAGTGTTTCTTGTGATTAGGCATAACTGAAGCCTGTTAGTAACAATATGAACCTGTGATCAATCAAGCAGCTGACCAGTCGTTACCTCCTCCTCCCTGCTCATTCTACCCAATAAATCGGAGGGGCTGTGGAAGCTCAGGGGCTGCCTTTGTTCACTAGAAGTAGGGAGCTCTCTTCTTCTTCCCCTGGTCTCTTCCTTTAAAACAGTTTCTTTCGTCTTAAGTTTTCATTTCTACGTTCGTCCGTTCGTCCCTTTGTTCAGTCCTGTAATGAAGTCTCAGGCAGTAACAGTAGTAACTGCTGTAATGACGGTCTCAAGTAGTAACAGTAATAACTGTTGTAGTGACAGCCTCAAGTAGTAATTGTGGTGGTCTGCAACAAAATAAAATAAAATAAAGTAAAATAAATTTTAGCAACCATTATCCTAACTTTTGGCGCTTTAGTTTTTTGATCTGTAAAATAGGAATAAATAGTAGTGCCCACCCCATAGGACAGCTGTATAAAGTAAGTACCCAGCTGGGTGCAGTGGCAAGCACGCCTGTAATCCCAGCACTTTAGGAGGCTGAGGCGGGCGGATCACCTGAGGTCAGGAGTTCAAGACCAGCCTGGCCAACATGGTGAAACCCCATCTCTACTAAAAATACAAAAATTAGCCAGGCATGGTGGTGCGCGCCTGTAATCCCAGTTACTTGGGAGGCTGAGGCATGAGAATCACTTGAACCCAGGAGGTGGAGGTTGCAGCGAGCCAAGATCATGCCACTGCACTCCAGCCTGGGCAACAGAGCGAGACTCTGCCTAAAAAAAAAAAAACACACACACACACACACACAAAGTGAGTATCCACTCCGCAGGGGTATTGCATTAGGAAGGTAATTCCTTCATGTTCTTCAACTGAAGCTATTATCCTCCTGCCTGCAATTCTTGGCAAATGTTGTGAAGGCAAGGACTGGGAATCCTCTTGTTTGTGGAGAAGAAGAAACACGTGTCAGGGGAAAGGTCACAGGGGCAAATCAAGTTAACCCTCTCTGAAGCTCTCAGGGCCACAGGAGCCCAGGCCTGGCCATTTCCCCATGGGAAGCTTCTGCACTCACTTCCTCAGTGCTGGCCTGGGTCTGCAGGGAAAGCTGAGTGTCCTGGGGCAGAATGCTTTCTGGAGAGGCCTCTGCCACCAGCTGTGGCCGAAAGACCTGGCATAGGGCCTGTTCCTGGGGCCCTTGGCACACCATCCTCCTCCAGCCAAGAGCCGTAAGGAAGAAGGGACTGAACGAAGGGACAAATGTAGAAATGAAAACTTAAGACAAAAGAAACTGTTTTAAAAGAAGTGGCCAGGGGAAGAAGAGAACTCCCTGCTTCTAGTGAGCAAGGCAGCCCCTGAGCTTCCACAGCCCTTCCTAGTGAAGGGCAGCAACAGGCCCCAGGAGGTCCTCCCCATTCTAAGTAGTTACAATTAAAATGAATCTAGCAAACACAGACAGCTAGGCCCTCCCAGGTGCTGCCCTGGGATCCAGGGACAAACACAGTGCCCAGGGGAGCCCACACACTTATGGGGAGCAGTTTACTGTGTCACTGTTTATTGAGCAGCTACTGTGTTCCTGATGCTTTTGTAAACCGGAAAGTATCTGAGACAGGTCTCAATCAGTTTAGACATTTATTTTTCCAAGGTTAAGGACATGCCCAGTAGAGAGGTCTGTGCCTTTCTCTAAAGATGACTTTGAGGGCTTTAGTATTTAAAGGGGAAAGCAGGCTGGAGGGAGAAAGAAGGAGGGTCTGGAAATCCACATATTGCAAGAGAAAAAGAGCAGGTAGGGAAATTATGTATTCAATTACGTATTCCTCTCACGCTCTGTAACTTTACATAAGATGAGGTGAACACAGAGTGGCTCCCCGTGGAGATACGTGGCCTTTTATCTGTGGCTCTCTGCCTAGGAACAAAGGAAAGGCAACTTCTTGTATGACTCAACTTTCAGCTTAATTGTTCACTTTTGGTAGAGTGAATTGGGGTTTTCATTTTCCTTTCACATTTTCTATACCTTCTCTTACTGAAAGTGAGGTGGTTGCTGTGATCTGCATTTTACAGATGAGAAGCTGAGGCTTGGAAGAACAGAATCACCACTCACCATCCAGGATGGGAAGTCAGAACCAGCTGAACCAGCAGCTGGCTCAGCCTCTCTCTCTCTCTCTCTCTCTCTCTCTCTCCCCCGTCTCTTTCTCTGTCTCTCTCT